CTGTAGCGCACATCCTATAGTTTTTCCTACAGATTTATGGCAAAATTTCTATAGCAAAATAGTATAGTATTCTATAGTTTTTTTTTATTGCACTTTCTGTAGGAAATTCTATAGTTATGTATAGGAATGAATACTGTAGTATTCTGTAGTTTGGAAATTGGGCCACTATAGTTTTCTGTAGGAATGGGTACTATAGAATTCTATAGACTTTTTTTTTATTAAATCTTATTTTGGGAATAAATATAGTTGGCCCATGATTTCTTCTAAATTGATAAGCTTATTTTTCTCTCATGGATTCTTCTAAATTGATAAGCTTATTTTTTCTCTCATGGATTGATCTGAATTATGTTGATGATTCACCAGCCGGAAGCATGAAAAGTTCTTTTCTTGGTAAAACTGAAATATAGGGAAAAGAATAGGTAATAAAGTTAAATAAATAACAAAATCACATAAATCTTATCTAATTAAAGTAATTTAATATTATTGTTAAGAAAGTAATAAATTACATGGATACTTATCTTTCTATCTTTAATCGAATCTGTGAAAAAAACTCACTATTCTCTTCAGTTTCTTGTTAATACTAACATATTAAGTTGTTACACTGAATTTTTTAATTTTAAATTCAGCTACTGGCCAAACAGATTTCAAGAAAGTACATTGGCTGTTAATTATAGTTTGTCGACAGGTATGCACGGTTGACCTATATAAGTGGCTTTAACAAATTATATAATTTGAGTACAGAATCTGCTATAGTCATTAAAATCTAACTAGCAGGATCACCTAACAGTCAGACTGTGTTCAAATAAACTTTGTCTTTATTTCATTGACTTATCTGAAGAATAATTTATTATCTGATATTTTTGTTGTGGACATCTTCATTTACTGGCATTTTTTGGAGGGTGCATGGGTGGGGAATTCCTTTGAGTGTCAACATGTATCACTATTTCATTCATATTATATACACTATTTTATACTTTATATTTTATTTTTCGTGGTAAGCTTATTTTGGTTTGTCATTTGGTATCACAATAAATTAAGGAAAACTGGATCCAGGAAAATTATGTTGGAAAAGTTTACATAATTCACACAAGTGCATCACTAAATTCTATTGTAAACTATAGTATGAATAAAAGACATCGCCAATTTATGAAATCTGTAGTATAGAACATTGTTTCTACAATATTATGTAGGAAACTATAGTAGGCTATTTGTTAAAATGGCTTGAGTACAGTATATATATAAATTTTACAGAAAACTATAGAAGGCTCATGCATTATCTTTTTCTCCACAAAATCTATAGAAATTTTTTTCCCCTTAGTTTTCTACAGAATGGCATAGAAAACTATAGAAATATACTACTGACTTGAGACAATAAGTTAGTTCTATAGAAAACTATAGTTTTTACCACCAAATCATTCCGTTCTACTCCACTATACCCTGGGTAAATCTATTGGGGAGACACGTTTTCAAGTTATCTGCCCTTAATGATTGTGCTATTTTTATCGACCAATCCCATAAATTATTATTTAAAAAGGAAGTTGGCAAAGGAAAGTAACTCTCATCGGACAATGTTAGGAGTTAGCCTATTCTAAATGCGTAATTATTAAGAACCAATATTATATTATGTTAATGAAGATCAGATGTTCATATATTAATGTACGGTCATTGCAAGTTTTATTTAGAATCGTTCGTTCGTTCCCGGAATTTACGAATTCAGGAAGTTACGATTCGATATGTACGAAAATCAACAAGAACCAAGATATTTGGGTTATAAATATGCATTTCAAGTTTCATCAAAATCAGATGAAAATTGTGACCTCCAGAGGGACCACATCCCTGTTACACAATATTTTGACACTATTTGCGAACGAGGGGCGGCTATTTTGTCTATCAGTTTCGGTCCGATTTTTACGAAATTCTAACTCTAATTCTAACTATAGTTTTGTGTAGGATTGGTAGATGAATATTTTCCAAGTGTATTTTCCTATAGAATTCTATAGAATACTGTAAGAAACTATTGGGAAAAAAATAAACCTACAGATTCATTGGTGCTGCTATAGTTTTCTATAGAACTAACTTGTATCCTCGAGTCAGTTGAGTAATCCTTCAGTTTCTATAGCCTTTGTGCTGAAAATTGAAGTTTGTTACAGAACTAACTATGAATTCTCGTGTCAGCTGTGATTCCTATAGATTTGGTGGTAAAAACTATAGTTTTCTATAGAACTAACTTATTGTCTCAAGTCAGTAGTATATTCCTATAGTTTTCTATGACATGCTGTAGAAAACTAAGGGGGAAAAATTGCTATAGATTTTGTGGAGAAAAAGATAATGCATGAGCCTTCTATAGTTTTCTGTAAAATTTATATGTATACTGTACTTAAACCATTTTAAAAATTAGCCTACTATAGTTTCCTACATAATATTGTAGAAACAATGTTCTATACTACAGATTTCATAAATTGGCGATGTCTTTTATTCATACTATAGTTTACAATTATATATTGATGCACTTGTGTGAATTATGTAAACTTTTCCAACATAACTTTCCTGGATGCAGTTTTCCTTAATTTATTGTGATAACAAATGACAAACCAAAATAAGCTTACCACGAAAAATAAAATATAAAGTATAAAATAGTGTATATAAAATGAATGAAATAGTGATACATGTTGACACTCAAAGGAATTCCCCACCCCACCCCCCAAAAAATGCCAGTAAATGAAGATGTTCACAATAAAAATATCAGATAATAAATTATTCTTCAGATAAGTCAATGAAATAAAGACAAAGTTTATTTGAACACAGTCTGACTGTTAGGCGATCCTGCTAGTTAGATTTTAATGACTATAGCAGATTCTTTACTCAAATTATATTTGTTGAAGCCACGTAGATCAACCGTGCATACCTGTCGACAAACTATAGTAAACAGCCAATGTACTCTCTTGAAATCTGTTTGGCCACTAGCTGAATTTAAAATTAAAAAATTCAGTGTATAACAACTTAATATAGTATTAACAAGAAACTGAAGAGAATAGTGAGTTTTTTCACAGATTCGATTAAAGATAGAAAGATAAGTATACTTTATTACTTTCTTAACAATAATATTAAATTACTTTAATTAGATAAGATTTATGTGATTTTGTTATTTATTTAACTTTATTACCTATTCTTTTCCCTATATTTCAGTTTTACCAAGAAAAGAACTTTTCATGCTTCCGGCTGGTGAATCATCAACATAATTCAGATTAATCCATGAGAGAAAAAATAAGCTTATCAATTTAGAAGAATTCATGAGAGAAAAATAAGCTTATCAATTTAGAAATCATGGGCCAACTATATTTATTCCCCAAAAAAAGATTTAATAAAAAAAAAATCTATAGAATTCTATAATACCCATTCCTACAGAAAACTATAGTGGCCCAATTTCCAAACTACCGAATACTACAGTATTCATTCCTGTACATAACTGTAGAATTTCCTACCGAAAGTGCAATAAAAAACCTATAGAATACTATAGTATTTTGCTATAGAAATTTTGCCATAAATCTGTAGGAAAAACTATAGGATGTGCGCTACAGAAACTGTAGAATAGTTGGGGCCATTATTTCCTACAGGCCCCCAAAATTCTGTAGAACACTATAGAATTTTATCCTATAGGAAATGGGACACGCCCCCCCCCCCCCCCAAAAAAAAACAAACAAAAAAACAAATTCTACACTGGTATTCTGTAGGACTTTTTGCTAAGGGAAACCTTTTTACCTTTCAAACGTTTTCACCCCCCCCCCCCCCCAAAAAAAAAAAAAAATTACTTTCTTAACAATAATATTAAATTACTTTAATTAGATAAGATTTATGTGATTTTGTTATTTATTTAACTTTATTACCTATTCTTTTCCCTATATTTCAGTTTTATCAAGAAAAGAACTTTTCATGGTTCCGGCTGGTGAATCATCAACATAATTCAGATTAATCCATGAGAGAAAAAATTAGCTTATCAATTTAGAAGAATTCATGAGAGAAAAATAAGCTTATCAATTTAGAAGAAATCATGGGCCAACTATATTTATTCCCAAAATAAGATTTAATAAAAAAAAAATTATAGAATTCTATAGTACCCATTCCTACAGAAAACTATAGTGGCCCAATTCCCAAACTACAGAATACTACAGTATTCATTCCTATACATAACTGTAGAATTTCCTACAGAAAGTTCAATAAAAAAACCTATAGAATACTATAGTATTTTCCTATAGAAATTTTGCCATAAATCTGTAGGAAAAACTATAGGATGTGCGCTACAGAAACTGTAGAATAGTTGGGGCCATTATTTCCTACAGGCCCCCAAAATTCTGTAGAACACTATAGAATTTTATCCTATAGAAAATGGGACACGCCCCCCCCCCCCAAAAAAAAATAAATAAGTTCTACACTGGTATTTTGTAGGACTTTTTGCTAAGGGAAACCTTTTTACCATTCAAACGTTTTCACACGCCCCCCAAAAAACTCTATAGATTTTCTATAGAATTTTACACTGGTATTCTGTAGGACTTTTTGCTAAGGGAAACCTTTTTACCATTCAAACGTTTTCACGGGCTTAATTACTTTTAATGGCACTCTTTGATTGGATGTCCCTGGCAGTCGCCCACTCGCTACCCCCACCCCATCTGGGTCATGCCCTGCAAGTTATTGGTCCCAAAATCATTCAAACCGCGAACACTAACTTAAAAGTCTCCAGGTCATGATCAAATCGTACCGCGATTTGAACAAAGGGGTTATAAAACAATATTTTTAGCTTTCAATGTTTCTAATCTAACTCTTTAAAACATATATTATTGTATTGTCGGCATCCATAGAGATAGAGTTATAAATAGTGTTCATAGTATAAATCTATGACTGTCGGTAAAAAACAAAAACAAAAACAACCTGGATAACCGAGAGTATGGACGGTATGGTTTGGCCCGTGAACATGAATACGCATGCCTTACTCACGCCACTATCACCCGATCTTGAATGGACGAAGTTTCATTAGCTCTAGTGTTATTGTTACGTATGCTGTTAAGCTAAGGTGTCGTCATTTAAATTTGAATTTACCAACGTGTTATAGTTATGGATAGGTAAAAGCAGACTGTATAGCTTCTTTCGTATTGGATCTGGCTATCATACAGGTTTGTACCGTAACTAAATGTTCCTCATTCATTTTTAGGTTAGGCTAATATTCTGAAACTTCAATTTCGTAAATAATTCATTGACCCGGATCCATACATGATACACTCTGGCCTTGAATTTATTTGATAAAAAATATTTATTACCTACAATAGTACAATGCCCGTGTTTTGTGTGTATGAAGTGTCGTGTCTGCTGGTTTATCTCTTCTAGCTGTCTGTAGCTACAATTTAGTTTACCCTCAGTTAATTTTGAAAACGAAGTACCGGTATCTAGTAATCTACTATAAAAAAACATACATCTGATCTAGTACTACTACTAGTACTAGTGTCTGACAAGAACGTTACCAATAATTATTTCATTGGTCATTGGATATAATTGGAGATTGTTTTGGGTTTTTTTTTTTGGCATGCTATGGACTCAGGCTAGTAATTATTTGCCCATTGGGTTCAAATCTTTATAATTATAGGCACAATGGGGACCACATTTGTCGTCCCCATTCGGCAATATCCTCATCATAATTTTATAGGGGGTTGACCGTTTAGATTTTTTGCTACAGGGATTTGATGTTGACTGGGGTGAAAACCTCACTTAATCTGACACAATGATTGCTCTGCAGAAAGACACTTTACACCCCCTATTCCTCCGCTGTAATGTCATCAGTATTACCCAAAACTGCTATGAAATTGCAAATCTGATCCCTTTTTATATGCCCACATGGAAATGTGGTCGTATATATTGCCGTTGCCCCCGTCCGTCTGTCTGTCCGTCCGTCTGTCTGTCCATCGTCCACAATTTCTTGTGAACACTCTACAGACTACATTTATCATCTGATTGTTTTGAAATTGATTTGTTGTTTGCATTTCAACAGGGGGTATTGGGTTGACCGTTCAGATTTTTTGCTACAGGGATTTGATGACTGGGGTGAAAACCTCACTTAATCTGACACAATGATTGCTCTGCAGAAAGACACTTTACACCCCCTATTCCCCCGCTGTAATATCATCAGTATTACCCAAAACTGCTATGAAATTGCAAATTTGATCCCTTTTTATATGCCCACATGGAAATGTGGTCGTATATATTGCCGTTGCCCCCGCCCGTCTGTCCATCGTCCACAATTTCTTGTGAACACTCTACAGACTACATTTATCATCTGATTGTTTTGAAATTGATATGTTGTTTGCATTTCAATAACTTGCGTTAATTTCTTCTGGAGTTATCAACCGATCTGTATGAAATTTATGTGCATCATTTAAATTAGTAAAACAAAGAAGCCTATTGAATTTCAGCAATTTCCGTTAATTACATCCATATTTATGGCCCTTGTTTTACTTTGTTGAATGTTGTGAACACTCTAATGACAACAGTTAACATCCGATCTGTTTGAAATTGATATACATCATTTAAATTAGTGCAACGAAGAAGCCTATTGAATTACGCCGTGAGTTATGGCCCTTGTTTCACTTTGTTGTACCTTGTGAATGTTCTAACGACAAAAGTTATTATCCGATCTGTATGAATTTTATATGTATCGTTTAGATTAGAAAAACAAACAAGCCTATTGAGTTTCAGCAAATTTCTGTGATTACATCTAGAGTTATGGCCCTTGTTTAGCATTGTTGAATCTTGTGAACGCTTGAACGACAAAACTTATATCACTTAATCTGTATGAAATTCATATGCATCATTTAAATTAGTGAAATGAAGAAGCCTATTGAATGTCAGCAATTTCCATCAATTACTTCTAGAGTTTTATTTTGTTGAACCTTGTGAACGTTTGAACGACAAAAGTTATCATCCGATCTGTATGAAATTTATATGCATGTCGAATTTCAACAATTTCTGTTGATTACTTCCAGAGTTACGGCCCTTGTGTTAGTTTTTACAACCTTGTGAACCCTCAAACGACGAAAATTATAATGTCATCTGTGTATGAAATTGTCTATTAAATTTCCCTAATTTCCTACAAAAGAATAAATATGTGACAACCCCTGTCGACTGTCCGAAGTTTTAGCTGCTGTGGGCGTATGTTTTGTTGCCTGGCAACCTATCTTCTCCAACTCTAGACCAAAAAGTCAACCCAAAAATGCAGGAAGAGGGGAGAAAAAAATTAAGGGAAAAATTGTCTATTTATAACTCGCACTACATTCGTCCATCATGAAATAAGGGGAAATAATTACTAGTCTGAGTCCCTATGGAGGCAGACCACCATTAAATTTCACCATCTCGGTACCCACAAATTGTAGTTCGTCTATTTACAGCAATTCTCTCTCTGTCTCTTTTCTCCCCTTTTGCTAGTTACTTTAGTAATGAAAATATGAGAGCCCTACTAAAATAACTACCCTGTTGCATGCCTATTTTTGTTGATTTTTTGGGTCAAGAATGGACGAAGAGGGTTTTCTGCCAGGTTTTGGTAAATATTCATGATTTTGAGGCAGGAGGATAACAGGGTTGTCAGGTTGGCTGCGGTGATATGTACGGCAACTAGTTACAACATGTTTTTAGTATGCTTCTCCAAGCTTGTGTATCTCAAAATTTTGGTGGTCAACCTCATAAAAATTTTAGTGCAAAGACATGACCATTTGTTCCTCTGTCTGTAGTGAAAAGCATTCGGCTCAACAAAAATCTGGGGAAAAGTTGGAAATGGGCAAAGAGGACAGAATTAATGGTGGTCTGCCTCCCGATGATAACGAATAGAGTTGCCTCCCTTCATATTTAATTCAATATTATATTAGGGAAGCGTGAACTAGACAGTTTGCATACATATTAGTTTTATTGCAAGAACAAACATAGAACTGTAGCTCTTTTAAAAAACCCTAAAAAACCAGTAAGACTGTTGCTATAAAATCTTTATGAAGATGTTGAAGTATGTCTTCCTGATTATTCATGTAAGAAACCGGGACATAAAAAAATATTTGTTATTAATGTTATTCAGATCGTACAGACAAAAGCAAAAATGAGCACAGAGCACCAGAAGGGCGTGAAGTAAATGAGTGTCCGTTAGTCGCGAATTTACTAGGAGGTTTGGGAGCATATTGTTGAATGGACCATTGAAATTATATCGATTTGTCAACTTGCGTAGATTAAAGTCTTAATAAAAACGTAACAATTAGGAAAATCAGCCGATTTGACTATAGTCAAGTTTATTTTAGAATACTGGTGGAATTGTGATTGTAATCTACGGTGCAAAGATAGCGACTGTAAGCTTACAATGTAAGTTACATTTAAGAAAACTAAAAAGATGCTGGAATTTGAAAAAATTCATGATTCCTAGAATTGACTGAATTTAATTTATTTTGATGTGTATTGTTTTGTACACAAGGTCTATTGTTTTGTTCACAACTTTGTTGAAAGTTCAGAGATGCAGCTGTGGGTAAATGATTTTTGTCCTTAGAGTGGTGTGAAGGTTAATATACTAAGCAGCAAAAGAAACGTCAGATGTTACTCTGAATAGACGCATTGCGGAATAAAACTTGCCAAATGTTTTTATTGTATATTTGTGACCACATCTCCAACCTTACCTGAGCAATAAGGCTCCTTCCCAAACACAGAATTGAACGCAGGAAATGTTCTCAAAAACGCAACCTGACTTCTGAGATGGTAATGTGTTCTCCATGATTTTCATGTAACTCATGGACCAGCCCTGTAAAATGCACCCCCATACCAGGTTGAATCATTCACACTACAACATCAGCAGCATGCCACGGCTCACGACAGCTCTGAGGAACCAGGCGCTTGGAGACTCCAAACTGGTAGACCAAGGGTTACCACAAGGCGACAAGACCACCATGTTGTGCGACAGCACATGCGGAATCCCTTCACACAGGCATCTGAGACAGCACATCAGACAGTGGGAACACACAGAAGACCCATCAGTACCGATACAGTGCGCCGGCGTCTCACCAGGGAGAACATTCATTGCCGAAGACCTTACCGTGGACCAATCCTCTCCCCTCACCAACAACATCAGAACTGGCGACACAGACAATGGAGATCTGTTCTGTTCACATATGAGTCGGTATTGCGTAACAACTGCAGATGGCAGGACCAGAATATGGCATTGACGTGGCCAGCGATATTCTAACCAATGTGTCATGGAACAAGACTCATGGGGAGGTCCAAGCATAATGGTTTGGGGTGGAGTCGGCCTGAACCAGAGAGTGAGTCCTGTGGTGTTCCAAAATCTTGGTCCAGGGAGAGGAGGCGGCATTACAGCAGTGCGCTACATCGATCAAGCTCTCAGACCCCACGTCATTCCACATTTCGCACTTCATCGAAACGTTTTCCAGCATGACAACGCCCGTGCCCACACTGCCAGTGTTACTCAGGACTTACTACAGCAGAACGGTGTCAAAATTATGCACTGGCCAGCCCTTAGTACGGACTTAAACCCGATTGAACATCTTTAGGATGAAATTCAGAGGAGACTTAATAAGATCGTACCGAGACCAAACACAGCCGATAGATTGGGCCAGGCTTTTCTGAGAGTGTGGTTCCAAGTGCCAATGGTGTTCATCAATCGTCTGGTCCACTCCATGTACAAGGCGCTGTGTTGCTGTTATTGACACTCGTGGTGGACACACCACATACTGATGCATAGACTGTGTACAGACTCTAAACCTTCTCGTAATGTCTTGGAATTGTGATGAATTAATCACTAATGTGTCAACATACTGTTCACAAAAAATTGCTTTGATCCATTTGTAAGTCGTTTTCTAGAATGATTTGATTAAAGTGCCTTTCTGATTTTGAAATCGTACTGACGTTGTTTTTTTTGCTGCCAGAGAAAGAACCCGTATAAAAATTCTCAAATCAATCTGATTTCGTGATTCTGGATCGGGAAAGGTTGGGTTTACAGTGTTGGATAGCAAACACAAATAATTTCAATTCATAGCAAGATTTTCACTATACATGTACCGTAATACTTGACTGAAAATTTTATCTTAAAAATTAACCTTACAAAATTTGGGAGTTTTATTGTCAATTTGGTATTATTACA